GTGGAAGGGTTTGGGGGGAGGAATTTGGGCCCCCCCCCCCCCCCACAGACCGTTACAGACAGGTAATTCCCCCGTCACAGACCGTTACAGGCAGGTAATTCCCCCATCATAAACCGTGACAGAGAACCCCGGTACCCATCACAGACCGTGACAGAGAAACTGTAGTTGTAAAGCATCAGATTAACGGTTAGCTACAGATGTATCGCAACGTAATGGAAGAAAAGGATTTCCATTTAATTAGTAATAATAGAGCCATCGTGTTTCACATTTTTAATCCCGCAAGGGATTGCGCTAACAGCTTTTTTGTCGATATTAATTTGTTTTCGAATTCAATTTGATCCATAGACGATATGAAAATGTAAAGTATAAATATATGACACCCTTGAGCAAAAGTCTCCCCTCTCCTTTTTTTAACATTTTTATTATTTAATTTCTCTTTATTATCGAACTAAATTATTTTAATGAGATGTATAGTCATCGTTTGCTTCAATCAATCATAGCCCTTGTCTTTCCATACTATCGAATAATTTGACAGCTAAGTCAATTGGCAAAACTTTTCATGTCTTTCTAATTTCTTGTTCCAATTCTTTAATTTTTTTAATTTTTTTTGATTTATTATATCCTTCGCCATCGGCCAAAAGTTTTCAATTGAGTTTTGGCATGATAATAAAGAGGGTCAAGACGAAACCTGAATTAGAGTGTCAGTTCTCCAATCGATTGCTATACAGTATCTGTGTTTAAGATCGTTTATTCTCTTGGGAGATCCCTTCAGGGAATTGGCAATAAGCAGTAGGCAGAAGACTGTTCTCATATATTCTACGTATAAAATCTCACGTCAAATTGTGTTTGAAAGTAATTAATTGTTCGAAACTGCCTTGAAACATATGCTCAAACGTGCAACCTGAAAGGATATTTAACTATACGAACAAGTTTGGTAGCTCCTCGAAGCAGTCAAAATTTTCTTCCACTATTACTAAGTTTGAATGTCTTCTTATCGGTAAAAATCACTGTTTCCATTAAAACTTTGGTACTGTCGAGCCCAAATGAGTCGTTGTTCCCGATATTTTTCTGTGAGTAAGGACTTTTCAAAAATGATACCAGAACTTTCCGCGCTTTCTCGCAATCGACGTCTAACAGTACTTGAATCTATATCCACGTCGTCCATTTTTGAAAATTTTTGAAATGTCATTTGATATAACATTCAGCTCACGTTTGACAGTATGAACATATCTTTGTGTCTGTTTTCTTTGAAGTGGCACTGAGTCGGCTATTTCTTATTAAATTAGACAAATCTTTATTTTGTTTCCATTTGGCAAGCTAATGACAAACGGTTTTTGTTTCACACTCAATGAACTTCCAAATAACTCACCTCTCTTTCTCCCACAATAAAAGACCCGGGGTCTTCTATTATGTTCAGGCGAAAAACATTTTTAGGAGGGTCTTGTATTATGTCTCTTGTATTTTTATAATTTTTAATTAAAAAGCGTTTCTTAGAAAACTGAAGCGATTTTGAAGATTCAAGAACGGATTTTCAAAGCTCAGATATAGTATTGAATTCACTAGTTTGAGATTTTTGAGCTCAACCGCCCCCCCCCCCTCCCCTCCCCTAAACTAGACCTAGTTTGGCTACAAAATCACTAATTATAGTCCTCAGTTTTCAAAAATATGATTAATTAAATGGGAAGGGGGTCTTCTATTACGTTGTACAAATGTTTTTCTCAAGCGGGTCTTCTATAACGGGGGAATGGGGGAGGGGCGGTGGCTTTATTTGACGTTTTTTGACCCAGTGAATGTTGAAAGCCTTTCAAAAGAATGATGAAAAAGCTATTCTTAATATTGATCCACATTTTACACATTGACAATTTTTGCATAAAGACTTCCCCAGGAGTATATTGTCGTTAAGTTTTGTTGAGTTATATTACAACCAAAAAAAAACATTAAGGATTAATCAGTTTATGTATTCTTTGTAATAGAATAACGACTGGTTTCTCTCAAAATTTAATACTGCAAAAATTTAAAATGTTGGTTTATTTGCTCAT